GAAGGAACTTGCAGATATCATATTGGAGGCTATTTCTGTGAACTTTGAAAATCATGGAGGAGAGGCATAATGTCAGAGGACTGGAAATTGTTTGTATCATCAAAAAAGAGGGCTGTCTCAGTGCTGTCATTACATGGATGCAGAGCTGGTTGAATAATCTAACCAAACAAGTATACATCAGTGGATTCAGATTAAGTTGGATGGAGAAATAAGTAAGGCTCATTTCTAGGCTTTTTACTGTTGGATATATTCATAAATGACTTTGATTTGGGGTTACAAATTCGGTTTACAAAATTAATAGATGACAAGAAGATAAAGATATGGATAGAGAACAATGTAAGTATTCAAGAGGATCTTTACAAGCTGGAATGATGAATAGAGGTCTACCATATGAATTTCAGCAGAGAAACAAACAAACAAACAAACATTGTTAAGAAAAATCAAAAGCATGAGCAGAGTCTGGCAGAAGTGGGTCATGCAAAAAAGATATAGATGACTTAATGAATCAGAAATTGAACTTAATAGTGTGATACAGCTGCAAAACAAAACAAAACAAAACAAAACACTGCCACCACCAAGTACATAATGCAGTTCTGGCTGTTTAGGGCCAAGTTGAAGAATATCCCTCATTCCCTTCTATTTGGTGTTGAACTCCTTGAAAAAAGGAGACAGGCAGACTAGAAATATAGTTACTACTGGATTTTCAGTAGTCAGTACATGTGCTTTATGCTTTTACCTTGTCCAGTGTTCTAGGAAAACTGCACTAATTATGCATACCATCTTCATAAAAACAGAATTTTGAAAGAGAATTTGCAGAATTGCTGCCCAGCAACATGTCTTTCCTGTGAGGCAGTAGCAACTATTTAGCAACTATCTAGAGAACACGAAACATATGTTCAACATAATAGCTGTCTTCAGGTATTAATTGAATGATCAATCTTATATTAAGTTTCAGGGATAGCATATTATCTTTATACCGTTACATCACCCATCACATGTAGAAGGTGTGCTTATTCCCATCTATCATGAATATAGGAGATAGTCTTTAGTTTGTATAACATTTGAAGAATGAAGGTAATAAGTACATTCATGCTCTGCAAAGTTATTGTCATTGCAGCTCACTGATTATGTATCAGTCAGTGTAGAAAACTATGTTTATTATTAGAGTTTGGCAGTATGTGAAGTAAGACAAGAAGAAAACCATCCTCTTTTGCTGTACAGAAAGGACAGTTGGAGGGATGGGAGGCAAGGATCCATCTATACAGTACTCTCTAATTATGACTCTCTTTCTTAGAATGGTAATTATGAAGAATCTTTTCAGTTACAAGTTGAGGTTGATGTTCCATAGTGCTTGGAGGCTATAAACTGCCTGGCTGGATTAATTCCATTTTAGTACCAGAATACTGTATAAGAGATACCATTTATCAGTGTTCTTGACGCAGTGAGCCACTTTGATTCTATCCCCCTTTCTCTTGTATGTCAATATGATGAAGTGATAAGCAAAGTCTGTAGTGAGAAGAAATCAATGAGAAAATCCCTTTACAGCTTACCTTTGCATTATCTCATCATTACCATTACCCTCCATATACATGGAAGCTAGTGGAGAGCTCTGGGTAAATATGACATTTCTGCTGTTTTTGTTTTAACCAGAGTTAACAATATTTAATGACATTAAACTGGCACTTTTTATCTCTCATGTATCTTATTATTGCTCACACATATACTTGCTGAAAAGTTAATATTTCATTCAATATTTTTTCAACTAATTTTATTAATTTTATTAAATGAAAAGACTAAAAGCCAATACAAAATACAAAAAATACAAACAGAAAATACAAAATGAAAAAGGGGGTGTAGAAAAGAAAAGAGGACAAAAAAAAAAAGAGAAAGAGAAAAGAAGACAATTTTCATAGCTTTTCACCATTTCTAAATGCAATATAAATTCTCTTCTCTCCATAGCCCATCTCTTAAGTAAAAAAAAAAAAGAAAACAAAATCCAAATGTTTCATCAATCATTATTTGTCAGCAAAAGTCTAGTAAAGGCAACCAGATGTAATTATTTTCCTCTTTTAGCCCTGATTGAAGAAATCAACTTTGTATTCTTCCCTGAGTTTTAAAAAAAATATTCTTTAACCCCTTCAAAAAGAGTCCCAGAGGTAGTTTGCTGGTCATCTGTGTCTCAAGGCAAAAATATTTATTGTATATCCAGTTAATAAAGTTTATTCTGTTGCTTGTCATTTGGAATAAAGTCCTTCAAAACCTTAACAGAGCTCTTTTATATATCCAGCAAGAAAAACATATATCCAACTCAGATTCTTGGTTCGGTATCTGTATATCTCCTTTAGGAAATAAGTCATCCATCAGATCCATTTGTGTTACATTTAAGTCCCCCCTCAAAGTAATTTCATAGATATCCATTGCAACTTGTTCTTGTTCTATAACTTCATTATATCACGCTCTGTCCATCTTATCAAGCAATTGATCCATTCTATCAAGAAGCTTGGTAGTGAGATATTCAAGAGTTTGCAATATAGATATCAATATGCTTCATATTCTTTATCCTCTAACTCCTTTTAGGGTCCAACCTTCAAGGTCTCCTTATCATAAAACCAAAACAATCCAAAGCAATTGCCATTTTCTCACAAGAAAAAAATCTAATTCATTCAAAGCTATAATTCTAAATCCCTCTGGCCCCTTAATCCATTGTTAAGTTACCAAGATCCATAAACTAAGCACCCTTTTGCTGCATAGTCCAAAAAAATAATAGATTTTTCAAACATTTTAAAATCAAATTTATACCATCATCCTCTAAGGAGGCGAAAACTCACCCAGTGAATAGAATAAAACCTTGCCAATCCAAAGAGTCTTAATCTCTCCAGTCAACAAGAACAAAATAATAATCCAAAAAGGTGATTAAGAAATGAGGCTCATTTGAGCTTAATGTCCATGAAAGACTGCTTTGCAAGTGGGAGCTTGATAAAATCCCAACTCCCAGCCACTCCACTCATAAACCAACCCCAAAACGGTAGTTTTCATGGCCTACTCATGAAGACCGGGTGTCTGTAGTCACGTGGATAAGATCAATGATCTCTCCTTCTTCTGGAGAGATTTCGCCGGCCTGGATCCAGCATCCAGCCGTGATTCCCCTCACAAACGTCCTGCTAACGAGCAGGATATCAGTTCACCATGGCACAGGAAGTGTGTCATTTCATTCAATATTTTGATTCATCAGAAAAATATGAATATCTAACCTCACACTGAGATACAAGAGAATATAAAGTTACAGTGCAAAAGGGAAAATATAGAAAAAAATAAAGGTAACAATGAATGATAAAATATTAGCACTTAAAATCATAAAAATGGTTGCTGATTCATGTCAATCAACAGATATACATACTGAAAGAGTGCTTACAATCCAGTCTAGTCATTTTAAAAGTATACCATATTAGATATTAAAATCAACTTAACCTTATTAACTCATTAGCCTTCTGCTGACTCTTCTATTATACAAATGTCTTTACCTTAATTAATCATTTCCATTGGAATAAGTACTGACTCACTTGTCTGTCTTCAGAGGCAGAATGGCTAAATTACAAACATAACCCATTGAATCACCTTTATCTGAAAAATGCATTGATCTTCTTGTGGTCCATTTTAGCTGAATATATACATCTTTTAAAAAACGTTCAATATGCAAATTATTTTTCAGAAAAGTATTAAACCAAGTAATTAATAAATAATACTGTAAATTGCACGTTGCTTACTTTTGTTTTATTTTTCATATTTTTTCCATCAACAACTATTTGGGTGGCATGCAAAAAGGTAAATGAGTTGCTCCTTTGATCTAAGGACAGGTAATAGCACCCTCTTCTTAGCATTCCTTTAGAGTATCAAAGATCTAATGACTCTTGATTGCTTCCTGCTTTTATAGGAAATTACAGTGATTCTGATCATTTTATCTAGGAAACTAATATGCAAATTAGATAACTATCTTCTATGAAAGATTTTCAAATTCTAATCTAAACATTAACTTTAACAGAGAAGAAGACACTGAGTGCTTTTAAGTTACAATAGCTAACATTGTTCACTATAAGTTTCCGTTTTTCTTTAATTGAGAACATTTTTAACGTATAAAGCATATTGTGTAATAAAAACCCATCAGAGCCAGAAACAGATTGTTCATGGGCTATGCAATCAGATGATTAAGTCATTATCCAAGGCAACTCTTTCTCATAAATACCTATAATTCTAGAGATGGTATACTAAGTGTCAGGTTCAGCCCAAAGAACTCCCCGAGACAGTGCAGATACAGTTCTGTTGCGTTTATTAGCTTCCACCTCAAGACAGAAATCTCTCCATACTGAATCT